GTGAGAGTAAGTCTGAACACACATGCAGCACACCACAACTACAACCTACAAACAACAAGCATTTGAGGAAACCACTACACTAAAACTATCTATAACCAAGGAATTCATACAGAGCCTTTGCCCTCTAAAAGCCCATAGGGTCCAATCTAAAGAACCCTACCCAACATACACAACAGTCACATCTTGAAGGGGCTGGTATCCTACCAAAATAAAAGTAAACCCACAAATAAGAAGTTATCTTTTCTACAGATGAGAAGGCAGCAACACAAGAACCCCAGAGCTATGAAGAATCAGAATATTACAACATCCCCAAAGGACAATAGTATAGCAATGAATCATAACCAAAATGAAAACTGAAATGACAGATAAAGAATTCAGGATATGGATTGTAAGGAAGCTCAATGAGATGCAAGAGAATGTTGAAAGAAAACACAAAGAAACCACACAAACTAATCAAGATGATGAAATAAGAAAGATACATTTAAAAATAACTTCTGGAAATAATCACTGAAGAGATGTCAAAATACAACATTAAGTTTTAACAATAATCTAGAAAGCAGAAGAAAGAAATTCAGAGCTTGAAGAATAATCTTCTTAATTAACCAGTCAGATGAAACAAATAAAAAAGAATTTCTAAAATGAACAAAGCCTTTGAGAAATATGGGATTATGAAAAGTGATCACACTCATAACTTATAGGGATCCTAAGCAAGAAGAAAAAATTAGAAGTTTGGAAAATATATTTGAGGGAATAATTCAGGAAAATTTTCTTGATCTTACTAGAAATGCAGAAGATCAGATACAAGAAATTCAGAGCACATCTATTTGATACTATACAGGATGAATATCCTCAACACATATAGCAATCAGACTATACACGGTCAATGTGAAAGAACAGAATTCAAAGACAGCCAGAGAGAGGAGTAAAATCACCTATAAAGGGAATCCCGTTAGACTAAGCAGAATTCTCCACAGAAACTTTACAATACAGAATAGATTTGAGGCCCATTTTCAGCCTTCTTAAAGAAAAAAAATATATAACAGTAGAGAATTTTATATCCTGAAGAACTAAAATTCTTTTTTAAAAAAAATGTTTTATTGCACTTTAGGTTCTGGGGTACATGTGCAGAACATGCAGGATTGCTACATAGGTACACACATGGCAATGTGGTTTGCTACTTCCATCCCTGACAACTATATTTGACATTTCTCCCCATGTTATCCCTCTCCAACTCCCTACCCCTTGCCGTCCCTCCCCTAGTCCCCCCAAACAAACTCAAGTGTGTGATGCTCCCCTCCCTGTGTCCATGTGTTCTCATTGTTCAACACCCACCTATGAGTGAGAACATGCAGTGTTTGATTTTTCTGTTCTTGTGGTCAGTTTGCTGAGAATGATGGTTTCCAGATTCATCCATGTCCCTGCAAAGGATACGAGCTAATCATTTTTTATGGCTGCATAGTATTCCATGTATATGTGCCACATTTTCCTTGTCCATTCTATTATTAATAGGCATTTGGGTTAGTTCCAGGTCGTTGCTATTGCAAAAAGTGCCACAATGAACATACGTGTGCATGTGTCTTTATAATAGAACGATTTATAATCCTTTGGGTATATACCAAATAATGAGATTGCTGGGTCAAATGGAATTTCTATTTCTAGGCCCTTGAGGAATCGCCACACTGTCTTCCACAATGGTTGAACTAGTTTACACTCCCAGCAACAGTGTAAAAGTGTTGCTGTTTCTTTACATCCTCTCCAGCATCTGTTGTCGCCAGACTTTTAAGTGATCACCATTCTAACTGGTATGAGATGGTATCTTTATGTGGTTTTGATTTGCATTTCTCTAATGACCAGTGATGATGAGCATTTTTTCAAATGTTTTTTGGCCTCATATATGTCTTCTTTTGGAAAGTGTCTGTTCATATCCTTCACCCACTTTTGAATGGGTTTGTTTGTTTATTTCTTGTAAATCTTTTACTTCTTTGTAGATTCTCGGTATTAGCCCCTTGTCAGATGGGTAGATTGCAAAGATTTTTTCCCATTCTGTTGGTTGCCGGTTCACTCTAATGATTGTTTAGAGCTGACTAGAGTTGTGTATTTCACTTTTCCCAGGTTAGTTAGACCATGATAATACTATTACAGGATAAGCTCAGGTTAACTAGCTTCTCCTGAGGTCAGGCCTTGCTAAAAAAACAAAGGACTCTAGAAGTACTCTAGCATATTTCAAAAGGGTTCATACTTCCTCCCCATCCCAGAAACAGAAGAAATTTTTTCTCCTGTGTTTACTGAGAGATCCTGGTTGACCTTCTGGAGGTAAAATTCACAAAAGTATGTGTAGAGGAAAGGTGGCTTATAAATGGGTTCCCCTGACGTTTTAAACTCTAAGAGTTGCCCATACTAACCCTCCACCAATTTATTAATTACAGTTTAGGTTCCCCTAATTCTAGTACTGGATCCTGAGGCAGGTCCTGCTAATCAGTCTTTGCTCTGGTAAACTGTGACTCCCTGTATTCATCTGCCTGTCTCTCCAATCTTGGACATATTTTCATTTCATGCTCCCACTTTGCTCATGGATTTAGGAATAGTTGGTTTTACAGCCTATTCACCTTTGTACTTGTTGTTATGAGTGATGACTATCAAGTTCCTTACATGAGAAACTCTGGATAGATACGAAAGGTTTTATAGTTTTTATTTTTACTGTTTCAAAACAAAAATAATAACAATAAATTGGATGATTTGTAAAATATGCAACAGATTCATGAAAACACTAGCACAAAGAACAGAAAGGGAAACAGATTCATTGCAAGTTCTTATACACATGAAGTCATATTTTAGTAGCCACAATAAAACAAAGATCTATGAATTCTAAGTTAATGGAAAAGAAAAAGAATGGAATTTATATAGGCCTAATTAAATAATCAAACAACAGATGTAAAAATATAGAAAATAATAGTCATATAGTACTAGCAAACCCTATCATATTTGCAATAACATTAAATATAATATCCAAACACTCTGATCATAAAGCATTAAATGTAGTAATGAATAAATGCATAATAGGCAAACACACAGTCTCCACTTTGAGATGCCTCTTGAACAAAGGCATATCTGGTATCAAAACAGATATTTAGACCAATGAAATAGAACAGAGGCCTCAGAAAAAAAAACCCAAAATGCCACACATCTACAACCATCTGATCATCGACAAACATGACAAAACCAAGCAAGGGGGAAAGGATTCCCTATTTAATAAATGGTGTTGGGAAAACTGGCTAATCATATACAGAAAACGGAAACTGGACCCCTTCCTTACACCTTATACAAAAATTAATTCAAGATGGATTGAAGACTTAAATGTAAGACCTAAGACCACAAAAACCCTAGAAGAAAACCCAGGCAATACCGTTCAGGACATAAGCATGGACAATGACTTCATTGCTAAAACACCAAAAGCAATTCCAACAAGCCAACATGGACAAGTGGGATCTAATTACACTAAAGAGCTTTTGTGCAGCAAAAGAAACTATCATCGGACTGAACAGGCAACTTACAGAATGAAAGAGAATTTTTGCAATCTCTCCATCTGACAAAGGTCTAATATCACAAATCTACAAGGAACTTAAACAAATTTATAAGAAAAAAAACCCATCAAAAAGTGGGTGAAAGCTATGAACAGAAGAACTTCAAAAGAAGATATTTATGTGGCCAACAAACATGAAAAAAATGCTCATAATCATTGGTCATTGGAGAAATGCAAATCAAAACTACAGTGAGATACCATCTCATACCAGATAGAATGGTGATAATTAAAAAGTCAAGAAGCAACAGATATTGGAAAGGATGTGGAGAAATGGAAACACTTTTATACAGTTGCTAGGGGAGTAAATTTGTTTAACCATTGGAAGACTGTGTGGCAATTCCTCAAGGTTCTAGAACCAGAAATACCATTTGACCCAGCAATCTCACCACTAGGTATATACTCAAAAGATTAGAAATTATTCTTCTCTAAAGACACATGCACACACATGTTTATTGCAGCATTATTTACAATAGCAAAGACATGGAACCAACCCAAATGGCCATTAATTATAGAATGGATAAAGAAAATATGGCCCATATACACCATCAAATAATATGAATCTATAAAAAAGGATTAGTTCATGTCCTTTGCAGGGACATGGATGAAGCTGAAAACCATAATTCTCAGTAAACTCACACAGCAACAGAAAATCAAATACCACATGTTCTCAATCATAAGTGGGAGTTGAACAATGTGAGCACATGGACACAGAGAGGGGAACATCACACACTGGGGCCTGTTGAGATGTGTGGGGAAAGGGGAGGGAGAGCAATAGGATAAATAGTTATGCATGCAGGGATTATAACCTAGATGGTGGGTTGATAGGTGCAGCAAACCACCATGGCACATGCATAACTATGTAATAAACCTGCACGTTCTGCAAATGTATCCCAAAACTTAAAGTAAAAAAATATTGAATAATTGTAAATGATTAAAATAAACATAATATGCTCTGTTATAAACACTGATTCTATTTATAAATCAGTAAAAAAGATAGGTTATTTTTAAAAATCCCAAATTATTGAAAACTAAACTACACATTTTTAAATAACCCATTGGTGAAAAAAATAAAGGGAATTAGACATATTTTCACTGAATGGTATTGTAACATAACCAATTTTTTTGATGTAGCTAAAGCAGTGCTTAGAGGAAAATTTATAATATTAATGTTTCTATTGACAAAACGAAGACCTAATACCAAAAACTCTGATTTCACTTTATTCTAGAGAGAAAAAAAAAAAACAAATTAAACTCAAAATAACTAGAAACAAAAAATAAAGATAGAAGCATAAATCAATTAAATAGAATATAGAAAAAATAAAACAGACAAATCAATATAATCTAAATTGAGTGTTTTGAGAATAAAATTATTTATTTATTTATTTATTTATTTATTTATTTTTACTTTTATTTTTTGCAGGGAAGGGATGGAGTCTCACTCTTGTTGGCCAGGCTGGAGTGCAATGGCGCAATCTCTGCTCATTTCAAACTCCGCCTTCTGGGATGAAGTGATTCTTCAGCCTCAGCCTCCCGAGTAGCTGGGATTGCAGGTGCTCGCCACCAGGCCCAGCTATTTTTTTATTTTTAGTAGAGATGGGATTTCACTATGTTAGTCAGGCTAGTCTTGAATTTCTGTCCTCAGGCTATCCACCTGCCTTGGCCTTCCAAAGTGCTGGGATTACAGGCGTAAGCCACGGTGCCTGGCCAAGAAGAATAAAATTATTACAACAGCTAGATTGATTCAGAAAAAAGACAGAAATCACAATTTGTCAGTGTCACAAATAAAATAATGAACACCAAAATAAAAATGAGATAATATAAGCAAATTATTTCAATAAAGCATACAACTTACATGCAATGGTAAAATTTTTGAAAAATACAAATTTAACTTAAGACATAAATGACAAAATTTCTACAAGAAAAGTCTTCGCAGCATTCATGTAGGCCAGGATTTTTTAAATGTACAAAAACAATAAACCATAAAAAATTAATACACTGGAGTTCTTCCAAATTAATATATTTTGATATTAAAATGACATTATTAAGGAAATAAGTTTTTGAAATGGAAGCAACTGATTGGTATAAAATATGTGCAATGTTGTATTCAGAATATAATGTAGAATAATTACAGTTTAATACTAGAAAACAAACACTAAACAAAAATGGGCAAATGTTTTGACAAGGCATTTAAATCTCTCTCTCTCTCCTATTCTTTCTCATTGTCTCTGTCCATATATCTAGCCATATACAGATAATGCCCAACCTACAATGGTTCAATTTATGTTTTTGTTTTTTTTTTACTTTATGATAGGGCAAAAGTAATAGATATTCAGTAGAAACCATAATTTACATTTTGAATCTTGATTTTTTTCTTGGGGTAATGAAATAGATTACAATATTGGGATGCTGAGCAGAGGCAGTGAACCTCAGCTCCCAGTCAACCAGAGGGTCACTAGGGTCAATATCTAATATCTACTGTGTACTTTTTAATAAACTACACACAAATTCAACATTTGATTCTAAAATTGGCTTTATGTTAGATATTTCATGCAACTATAGGCTACAGTGTGTGTTCTTGTTTTTTCTTTGCTTGTTTGTTTTTGAGACAGAATCTTGCTCTGTCACTTGGGCTACAGTGTAGTGGCGCAATCTTGGGTCACTGCAACCTCTGCCTCCCAGGTTCAAGGAATTCTCCTGCCTCAGCTGCCCAAGTAGCTGGGATTACAGGTGCCCATAGCCACACCCTGCTAATTTATGTATTTTTAGTATTGATGGGGTTTCACCATATTGGCCAGCCTTGTCTTGAACTCCTGACCTCAGGTGATCCAGTCACCTTGGCCTCCCAAAATGCTGGGATTACAGGCATGAGCCACTGCTTCCAGCCTAAAGCATGTGTTCTAAGCATGTTTAAGCTAGGTTAGGTTAAGCTATGATGTTATGTAGGTTAGGTGTATTAAATTCATTCAATTTATAATATTTTCAAAATCTAATCAGTTTATTAGAAAATAATTACATCATAAGTAAAGAAGTATTTGTGTGTATTTGTCTAATTTATATCTATATATTATATATCCACATCTATGTCTCTCATTGATGAAAAGAGTCACATTCTGTAAAATGTTTGAAGATATTTATTCTGAGCCAAATATGAGTGAGCATGGCCTGTGACACAGCCCTCAGGAGATCCTGAGAACACGTGCCCAAGGTGGTCAGGGCACAGCCTGTTTTTATACATTTTGGGGAGACATGACACATCAGTCAAATATATTTAAGGTGTATATTGGCTTGGTTCGGGAAGGTGGGACAACTCATAGGGGGACTTCCAGGCTACAGGTAAATTTAAAAATTTTCTGGTTGACAATTTCTTGAGTTTATCTAAAGACCTGGGATCAATAAAAAGGAAACATTTGGGTTAGGATAAAAGATTGTGGAGAGCAGTTTTATTGTACAGAGGAAGCCTTCAGATACCAGGCTTCAGAGGGAATACGTTGTGAAATGTTTCTTACTTGATTTGAAAAGGTGACTGCGTCTTAGTTGAGTATCTCCTGGATCTGGAAAGATTTGCCAAAAAAAAAAAAAAAGGAAAAGGAGACTCTCAACAGAATGTAGATTTTTCCCACTAGAGACAGCTTTGCAGGGCAATCTCAAGATATGACAAGGAAATATATTTAGGGCTAAAATATTTTGATTTATTTCCTTATTTGCTTTGTAATGTTATACCAGAGTCAGGTTGGAAAGCAGCCCATATTATATAGGGTTAAATAAAATCCTTCAGATGAAACTTTATGGATTTGTAGGGCATGACTCCCCAGACCCCATATGCAAGAATTTGGGCAAGAGAAGAAATAAAAAAGGTCAGACTTAAGTCCTCACTGTATAGTAAGCACCAATAAGTATAAGAAGATGCTTAATGTCAATAATCACCATGAAAAAACTAAGTTAAAATAAGAGTATATACTTTTAAAATAATCAAAGAATTTCTATAAATTAAATTTTTAGCACAGAAGTTTGGGTATTGGTCTGATAATGTGAAATTCAGTATATAACCCATTTAAGTGCATATTTTTGACAAAAGATTCTAAAAATAAAATTTATTTTTTCTTCCCAAAGCTAGATCAAAGACCAATATCTACATTGCCCCACAGTTTCGGTTTGCTTCCTCCACCTAGATTACCTATTAAGATATTATCTTGAAAACATGGCATTATGTAAGTGTGGCTTCAATCAGAAATTTTTAGAAAACACCCATAACAGATATTATTTTCAAAGTTGGATATTATCACCATGGGTTTGTCATTGTCATTTCTTTCTTGTAATTTCTGGCCTTTGAATAGTTTTTAAACTTTCTAACTCAAATATGCAGAAAAAGGTTATAATCATTTTATTCAGCATTTTAAAGTGAACAGTACTGAGAAAGAATTTCACTGACTGACTTGTCTACCCTATTGCCAAGAAATATCATTTTGATTTTCAAATAGATTTCTCCTCCTCTGCTAATATTAAAGTTCTGAAAGTTCAAAATTAAATGAAGTATATATTCTTATTTCCATTCCATCTGTTTAACATTTTGCTTTAGATAACATATAATTAAGTTGAATAATTTACACTATCAGATATTAAAACTTAAAAACTACAGTAATTTTTAGAGCAGGAGAAAGGTATAAGTAGAGACAAGTAGGCCATTTGAACAGAATATAGAAAAGGAACAGATTCACAGTATATGAACACTTGATGTGAGACAAAGTTGAAACTGCAGAGCAGTGAGGAATCATGTCTTTTCTATAAATGGTCTAGGATCAATTAAACATACATATAGGAAAAAAAGGAATCTTTACTTCATACCAAACAAAAAAATCAATTACAGACAGATTGAAAATCTAAATTTCTAATGTTTATCAGGAAAACATCCACAAAAAATAACAAAATAAAACATCTCAAAAAAATAGAAGAATCAATGAGGATGTAAAAAACACTAATTATAAATGAAATAATAAACTCTTTAAGGAGTTTTTGTTCATCAAAAGACACAACCAACAGAGTACAAGGCAGACCACAGACTGAGAAAAGATGAATAAATACATATACTACATAAAATCCACAAACATCTTGTGTTCGGATTATGTAAAGTACTCCTAAAAGCAATAATATAGACAACCTAAAGAAAAATGGTGACACTAGAATAGGCATTCCACAATAGAAAAATTGTTAATCTTTTAATGAATATCACTACACATACCAGACTGGGTGAAATTAAGAAGACTCATTATAACAAGTTCTGGCAAGTGTGAAGAAAGATATGCTCTCTTATATTGCTGGGGAGGTTGATAAATATTTATGTAATGTCTATAATTTTTTGACGGTGTTTACTAAAGATAAATAAATTTATATCCTCTGAACCAGAAAATATATTTTGAGTTATATACTTAATACATATGCTTTTTATATCTGTGTATACATAATATAAATATATATACATATAAATGTATATACATAGATATAAAAAACATATGTATTAAGTATATAACTCAGAATGTATTATATAAGTATAAGATATAATATACTTAATATAAATATATATTATAATACATTTATAATATACATTAAGTACATTTATAATATATTTAATGTACTTAATGTATATTATAAATGTATTATAAGTATATTATATTATAATATAAATGTATATTAAGTATAAGTGAATACATATATAAATGTGTATACATTTATATTATATACATTTATATTATGACACACAAAAGACACACAAAAAATGTTAATGGTAGAATCATTCATAGTAGACCCAAACATAAAAATAATACAAATATTCATAAACAGTAAAAAATATGTCATGGTATAGTCATACAGTTGATTATTACATATTAGTTTAAACTATTCCCACATTATACAACATCAATACATTTAAAATCATAGTGTCGAGATTAAATATCCAGACAAAAAATATATTAATGAAAACTGCTTTAATAAAGTTCACGCACAAGTGAAAAGCATCTATGGAGATGGTAATTGACTGCAAACCATATTTTGGGAGAATAGGAAGTTCTGGTAATGGCTCTCTTTTTTCGTTTTTTGACTGAGTGTACCAAGCCACATCGAATATATATAGGAGTTTTAGGGGAGTGGTCTCAAGGATATACTCATTAAGGGAGTGACAGAAGCCCAACTGACAAGATAGTGGTTGAATTGTAATATATTTGCAAAGAAAAAAAAGGCCTTAGCCTAACATCTTTGGAACATTTAGAAGCTAAGATAACTCTTTTTTTTTTGAGATGGAGTTTCACTCTTGTTACCCAGACTGGAGTGCAATGGCGCAATCTTGGCTCACTGCAACCTCCGCCTCCTGGGTTCAAGCGATTCTCCTGCCTCAGCCTCCTGAGTAGCTGGGACTACAGGCACGCGCCACCATGCCCAGCTAATTTTTGTATTTTTAGTAGAGATGGAGTTTCACCACATTGACCAGGATGGTCTCGATCTCTCCACCTCGTGATCCACCCGCCTCGGCCTTCCAAAGTGCTGGGATTACCCTTTAAAATTTAACCAAATTGAGATAAGAGTCCTATGCCCTTGTATTCTTGCAGTGACAAGTCATTGTTTGCAAAATGTCGACAACAAGAGACATGACTTGTGTCAGGTGTCTCTTTAGTTAAGGGCATTTCCTGTAGAAGGCCTCAACAGACAAAACTCCCATAAGTTTGGGGGAATGAGAGCCTCATGGAGAGCCGTAATAATCATTGTTTTGGCCTGAATTGTGTTTTCCCCAAATTTATGCATTGAAATCCTAACTCCCCAGTATCTCAGAATGTGACTATAATTTGAGATAGGCCCTTA